GCCCTGAAGCTTTGAGGACCCCATCTTGTTTACGCAAATTTTTGGCGGGAAAAATAACTAATTATGTACACGGCCACATTCCAACAGGTGTTTTGAACCACGTGGAGATAAAGAGAGAAAATGGTTTGGTCAATGCAGAATTTCTTTCGACAAATATAACCTCAAAACGCTGAACAACTGACTAAAGAGACATGCACATACATTTGGCACTCTACAAGTGCACCACGCATTGAAAATGTTGTTGAAAACGCGGCAACAAGTTGATGGACTTTTCTAAGCCTATGTAAAATTAGGAACGGTCGCTGCCTAATACAGAAATAGTTAATTTCTTACGGAATATGTTGACATCTCTGTGTGGACATGTTCGCACTAGTTGCTAAGGAATAATGTCAGCCAAACAATGTACTGGTTTACCTGAAACAACGAGCGAAGTCGTCTCCATTAGTCCATTCCAGTACCACGCAACTCAACTCTCTCGCCATTTGTGTCTTCTCCAAAAATTCGCCGGGTCAGGAAATCCGCATTTTCTTCTCAAAACATCACCATAACGGCACAAATTCACAGCGAAAACTCCCAAACATTTTGCTGCACACTTACTAAGACATTCTACCGACGAAAACGCCTAAAAGTACCCAGAAAGTTGTGAAAAAATCAGCCCAGAGTATTCCCGACGTACGAATTTCAAAGCGCCATTTTGAACGGAACACACCAAACTTGTTTTTACACAGGTGTGCAGAACGTCGGTGCATAATTAATGTGAAGTTGATATTCTAATTATGACGAGCAATGACGGCTCGTTTCAAGCTGCATTTTTCTAAAATGTCATAAACGGATATTCATCCCCTATCACGCCCCCGTTTTGGGGCACACGTTCAGAGAAGAGACCAGAGTTGGGAAACGCGATGGGCTCTTATGGGGGTTTTACCCCAGGTCTTTCTTGCCGTTGTTCTTGACATTAAGGCTTGCCCTGACTACTTAAGTATCTCTAGTTTATCAGGAAAGAACCGTTTTAGTCTTGCATCTTTTCCTTTTGAGACAAACATTCCTAGAACGACTTTTGCGAGCGGTTGAATATGGAGCTTTTTCGTCAATACTTCTGCCCTTATAGATTTCACGCATCCACAAAAACTATGAAAAAACGGACTTCTTATTGAAAATAACAATCTCCACATCATTCAATTGAAATATTTTCGATTGCGTGTTCGGCATTTATAGATCAACTTTTTCGGTTAAGTGTGCAATGTTAAAGTCATGATTAGCTCCAAGGGATGAAGTATACTCACTTGACAAATGATGCACTATCCTGTCTATATTATTTCCCATTCCAGTAAACACACAAGAAACGTATCACGCAAACTGATCGCGACGGTTACATATATGTGAGAAATTTTATTTGTGCCTGCCACATATAACTCGATTGCATGTGGGGCGTGAATATGCGATTGTCATTTTCAATATCGTCAGGTTTGCTATATGGAAACAGATAACGTTATAAAACACTCAAAAAAGGGTTTGTGAGCCATTCTTTGTATGCATACACAGTATTTGACAAACAGATCTTATATAAGGCGCCCAGTCGACAGTACCTAGCTTCTCTATCATGCAAACGCCTGTACCTAACGTATCCAGGTTACAAAGGTCATTCCAGACAGCTATTAAGAACTCTGCTAATCACAACAACAGTCAACAAATCAAACAAGCTTAGCCACTGACTAAACTGTTCTTCGGTTGGGCACCCCAACGTAGATACAACAGGGCTAAAGATGAATTTGAAAAAAAAGTGTAAACCATGAACTATAGTATACTCCATGAATAGTTTCATCAGGTTGGTAAGACACTGAGTAAAGAGACTCTTTTTACACAACCAAGTCTTTTATTCAGTCAACGTTTCGGTGACCGTCTGTCACCTTCCTCAGGGCAATTCTGACTGGTTCACATTGCATTGCAGCACAGGTGTCGCTGCTATAGATGCATACAGAACCAGTCAGAATTGCCCTGAGAAAGGTGACAGACAGTCACCGAAACGTCGGCTGAATAAAATACTTGGTTGTGTAAAAAGAGTCTCTTTACTCATGAACTATACTCAGTTCGACATCCCTTTCCCCCTAACAACATCAGAATCACAACTGTCCATAATGCTGACATACAACTACTTGTACAACTAACAATTAACATTCCAGTGACACTTGCTAAGCCTTATGTTAAGAAACCCCTCCCAGGGTAATCCAGCTATTTTATCTTACAACCGGCACAGGTGGCCGTCTTTGCTCCGTAATACTCGTTACCGTAAACCCTCTTTTGTCAGAAGATTTCTGTCCAGATGCCCACGGTAGTCTTATCTAACAAAATGTAGTAATTAGGCCACAAAACCCAGGAATTGCCACACTGAGGTTGGTGGGTAGTGTTTTTGGTTTGTTGACTGGTTGCTTGGTTAGCGAAAGTAAGTTTATTGTCAGATTTATGATTATTGGTTTGTAGACAAATTTTGCCCTACTAGTACTCATGGCCCAAATCAGAATGTAGGTCACAGTTACTCTCCAAGCAGAGGTTGTGGGGGAATGATCGTTACCTTTTTATATATGGCCGTGTTTTTTTGTCGCTACTCCCACCAACCGTCGGTGGCCGCGGACACAAGTTCTCTGGCTAATGGATACTGCCTGGCCAATTTGATACTGTCTTCTTGCCACCGATAGGGATCTGCTTGGAGATTAGGTCACAGTTGCGTCTGAACATAATGTAAAAGGGAGGTTAAATGGGAAACCTTTGTCCGAATAAACTACTAGTGTGACTTAAATTTGCTACGGCTTTTGGTCCACTAATCGCGTCCCCAGAAACAGGAACATCAGGGTATTTATTTAGCACCGTGTCCAAAATGCTCCCTTACTTCCCCACCTATCCCTACCACAAAAAACAATTTTACTACTAAAATCAAAGAACCCACATATTATAGAAGTGGGTAAATTCGTCTTCCATTGACTAAAAAGAAGTCAAACCCAGTAAAACTAGTACCATATATGTTGTAGAATATAGTATACTAGTAATGCTAGACGTAGATATAGTATCACATACCACTGTATTTTCTTTCTTATGTTGTTTGTAGCTGCAATTAGCCCTTGGGCATGTATTTGCAATAAACTTTCAGATTTATAAAAAAAAACTTATTACTCTCCGTTCCTGATCTTCACCTAGCTCTATGCCACGGAATAGTGTACAACTATAGTTTTCATGATTTCATTGTCAATGTCAGATGGATGAACGACGAAAACCAGAGTTATAACGTCAGCGGAAATACAGACCTATATAAAAGGTCTACCTAGGGTCCATACGTGAAAAAGGCGGGAAGTTTCCTACTCTCCAAGCTGAGATTTGGGTTTTGGGGTATTTTTAACGAGTTTTTAGGCTTTTTTATCGGGGTTTCTTTTTTGCACTGGGATTTTCTTTCGTTCATCCATCTGACATTAACAATTATGGTTAATGAATAATGGGTAATTTGGTGAAAGAAAAATTCCAGTGCAAAAAAGAAACCCCGACAAAAAAGGCTAAAAACACGCCAAAAATAACCCAAACCCCTAACCTCTGCTTGGAGAGTAGAAGTTTCCTTCATATTACAAGTAACAACACGCCCAAGATGTTTGTTTAACACTACAGCTACAAAGATCGACAACTTTGAACTAGTTCTAGTGCAGTGTTTGCAAGACTCAATAGGCGTACACGTACCTGACTTTTTGAGTACTTAACTAGGGTGTACTGTCAACGACTCCAGCGTCCCTCTCTTAACAATTAAGCTGTCAATTATGAAATCAAGGCGTATCCCCGTTTCTTTGCAGTTCGGTCTGGTCTTCCGGGGTTCGTTTTACAACCCACACAAATTATAGACTCTAGAACCCCAGCCTTCATGAACAGTTTACTTTGTTAGGTTTACTGGCATTGGCCCTAATTAATTAGGTAGAAGTCTACCGTATTTGAAGTTGGCTCAAACTATATATAGTGAAGTTCTTTATTGCAAGTTCATGCCCGAAGGCTAATTTCAAACAGTCGAGTACAGAATGTATTGAATAATAGTATAAAACCACTCGCTAACTTGAAGTCTTACTTCTACTAATCTAAATGTCTATCTCTACTTAAAACTAATAACGTATGTATATGTGACAGAGAGATGATATGTAATACATACACAGGTGAGAAAAACATAGCAACTACCATTGCCAATTTAGACATACTCTAGTACGTTATATGATATAGGAACCTTCTATGTGGACCACCAAAGGTATGTGTACATATGCATTATATTGTGTGCATTCATGTACAATGTTTGTTCTTTAGCATAGTTATATCTACCTGGGCCTATATACTTAGTATTAAACATTCTTGTCTTTCAGAGTAGAAAGTCTATTACCCCCCCCCCCCAAACTGTGAATAGGATCGCCCATTCTCTGTACCCATTTGACAAGCGCGTATCTTTATCTTTAAGATCATAAAACGTGTGACGTAGGAGGTTTGAAGACTATCAACAGTAATGGTGCATCAAAACGTGTTGCACAAACTATCAAATAGCGCTAACAGCCTAGCGACGTGCATTTCATCATCATAAGGCCATGTTGATTTGATTATATGGATGACATCCTCTGGGAACCCCAAAACTGATGCGCGCGTGCGAATAAAAAAAAGTTTTGCAAAAAAAAAAGTTAGCTTTCACTATGAAATCTACGTGGTCATGAAGGTTGAACAAATGGCACAGAATATGTTATGGCGAATAATCTACTCTTCGAATTCATTTCTTTACATTTTTTTCCTTTGATTTTCCTTTTGATTTTGGCATTCTACGACATTGGTATCGTTTCTAAATGTTTTCCTTGCAACTTATGGTATATTTTTGCTCATTAAGCAACTGTTTTTCACGATTTACAGTATGGTTGAAAACTTTTTTTTTTTGGGAAACGGCCGAAAATTCATGCGCGGATGTCATCCATATAATCAAATCAACATGGCCTAAGGTCTTTAACAACCTTTGGCACTTTTTGGGCTCCACCCAGAGACCAATGACGAAGGGGGTATGTGTTGTAGCGTTGCTAACGTGGAGAGTATTTAAGTGGTAGGTTCCTCACGTACCGTTTAAACATCTAGGGATTTAGCCATCGCTCTAACGACTTTCTAGCCAGAGGAAAGTGGGAGGAAAATTGCGGAGAGATGCGTCTGTTGGTGCTGGTGTCTGTGTGTCTGTTGGTGTCCGTTTGGGCAGATGACACACCGGTGGATCTGACACTACAGGTAACGTAATACCGTCAGTTTTTAGTTTAACCGTTAGAAATTCAAGTTTGACGGCGAGAAGTTTCAAATTTGATGCGTGTATCTTTTTAGTGTGATTTTATCTTCATTTTACATTCTTTAATGAGATAGACGACTAGAAGTCGACAATAAGGCCATGTTGATTTGATAATATGGATGACATCCGCGCGCGCTTGAATTTTCGGCCGTGCCCCCCCCCCCCAAAAAAGTTTTCAACCACACTGTAAATCGTCCGAAACAGTTGCAAAATGTGCAAATATATACCGTAAGTTGCAACAAAAATATTGGAATACGATACCAATGTTACAGAGAAAGACGAAAATGTAAATGAATTTGAAGAGTAGATTACTCGCCCTACCATATCTCTGTGTCATTTGTTCCGCCTTCTTAACCACGTAGACTTCATAACTTTTTTTTACCAAAGTTTTTTTTATTCGCACGCTCGCGTCAGTTTTGGCGTTCTCAGAGGATGTCATCCACATAATCAAATCAACATGGCCTAAGTTGATTTTGCAATCAAGAGTGTCGTTTTTTTGACCAGATCAGCACTGGTATTGTACACACAGCTTAGTTACTGTATCATTTAGATTGCCGCTCTACCCTAAATGTAAAAATATGATTCATGAAAATGTAGATAGCGTTTTAGGAGGGCCTGCAAGGGGGGTTAGTGATTACGAATTACGCAAAATTTTCGCCGCCTATTTCGAATTACGTTAAAGTCTCAGAGCTGATTACGACTTTACGATTTGCGGCTAATGTCCAATTACGAATTACGTTGATTTTTGCGGAGGCTGCCTACGAATTACGAAGTCTAAAACGGCCTGATTACGCCTTACGAAAAAGGGCTTGCAGGCCCTCTATTAGAGCAAACAATGTCAGTACATGTATACGTAAGTGACAGAATACGAAGTGTCCTTTTTCAACTTTTGTCCCTTGATGTAAAACACCTGTACGTGTGTCGGAAGTTACTTGAACGCCGCACGTAAGTTTAAAACAAACATTTACCAAATGACGGTTTTCTGTCTTTGTGGTCGCCTTCAGGCCGACAGTGTGATTCTTAGTGTTATTTGCTGTTGCAAAGAGGAATTCTATAAAGGAATTCCTGAAGAATTAACTCTTTGCCAAAACGTGCGTTTTGCGCGGTCAAATCTGATGATCAGGTGGGGTCGTGTGGCGTAGCGGCAGAGTGCGCGACTCGGAACTTAGAGTCCCGGGTTCGAGTCCTGACATGTCACCGATCTTGTGCCCTTGGGAAAGGCACTTTACACGGCTTTCCTCACTTAGCTCAGGTGTAAATGAGTATTATCCTGTCATGTATTTGTCCCCTGTGTTGGAGGCGGCATTAATGTAAGTTGAAAAAACTTGAGTGTGTCGTCACCACGTCTGGTGAGTACATGTTGGAATAAAAAAAAAAATCTGATGAAACCAGGCAACCAACCAAACAAAGAAAGAAACCGTTAAGTTACAAATAGTTGTATACAATATTCTTTCAATAACCAAAAGTTTGCTGAATGCTGAAATTTACATATATTGACTCGGCACAAGTATACTATATAGGAATTCTATGAAGGGATTTCTAAAGGTGCCAAACGTTCGTTTTGCGATGTCAAATCTAATGAAACCAGGCAACCAAATACACAAAGAAGCCGTTACGTTACAAACAGGTGTATAACTTACAATGTTTTTTTCATTGACCAAAAGTTTGCTGAATGCTGAAATTTTCATATATTGACTAGGCACAAATATACTACATGTACGACCAAAAATCAAGAATTAATTGATTTCAAACATTGCTTTGAATTTCATATCTTGCTGCTTGATTTCAAATGATATATATACTCCAGTGCTAAAACAAAGTGTCATTAATCCAATGCTGTGCGATGTCAATTCTGATGAAACCAGGCGACCAACCAACCAAAGAAAATACCGTTAAGTTACAAGTATATGTGTACAATGTTCTTCCATTGAAATTTTGCTGAATGCTGAAATTTATATATATTGGCTAGGCAAAAATGTACTACATGTACGACCAAAAATCAAGAATCCATTGATTTCAAACATTGCTTTAAATTTCATACCTTGCCACTGGATTTCCAATGGTTTATACTCCAGTGCTAAAAAAATGTGTCAATATATATACAAGAACTTGACTAATTCCAATCCTTGACTAATATTGAAAAATTCATTTTTCTTATGCGCTTTGATCATCCTGTATTAAACAAACCCATCTCAAATTATATTTTTAACATCACAAAGAAACGAGAAGAAGCCGAACCTCTGTATTAGAGTAGTTTTTGAACTGTTGTAGTTATATTAGTAGTCCTGTTTGTACTACAAGCATGTATATATATATACTTTTACATCTGTTCACCTGTACTTAGCCCGATAGAGCATGAATGTACAATAAAGATATCTATTTATTCATCCAACGCTCTGTATTTCTCAGCCTGGTGAGAAAGGAAAAGACATCGTGGACGCCTGTATCGGGCGGATAAACCTGGCGCAGATCTTCCAAGATGACGCAGGCATGCTGCGTAGGATCGGTAAGTACTATGAGTGTACTAGTACTACTACTCTCCAAGCAGAGGTTGAATGGAAAGATTGTGACCTTTTTCTATGCCCCGTTTTTTTCTGACAGCCGGCCCATATACTGTCGGCCGGCTGGATACTGTCCGCCTGTTGGATACTATCTTTTTTGGCCACGAAAAGATCTGCTTGGAGATTAAGTACTACTAGTATTAGACATAACCGCACTCCCTAGAACAACGAATATGTCGGTTCTGTGATTTAGGAAGAATCGAAGATGAGAAACATTTTGTAACAGAATGTAAACTATACAAGAAAGAGAGAGCAGATCTGTATAATCTGATACAATCTATGTTCCCCTTCTTCATACATCTAAGCTGTACAGATAAATTTATATTTCTAATGAGCTTAGACAAACCTTCTATATTGAAACATACCTGTTCTTACCCTTTTCCATTACTAAGAAGCGAGAAGAAACCGAATTTACTTAATTACTTAATGTAGCCACTTAACGATGTATATATATTAATGTAACGTTATCTGTATTCCATCCTTTTGTTGTGCCCTGTACTTAACCCAGTGGGTATGTGTATACAATTAAGGTCTTCATTCATTATTTATACATTTTTCAAGTCATTTTCATCTTCAAAATTTTTCAAAAGTTCTGTTTGCCAAGTAGGAGCTACAAACCTTTTATTAACGCCCACGACACCCATGCCCACGCCTGTGTTTAACTTTGAACTTGACTTTCAGCGTGGGTGGAGTCCCAGTTCGGAGAGGCAGAGGGCGTTACTACTTGTATTTGGGGCGTGACGCCGACAATGTACGAAACAGTCTCTCCCAGCCAAGCTACCAAGGACGCCATTTTGGTGAGTCCGTTTCTATGGAAACAGATATCAACTATAGTTTGGAAAGGCTTCTTGAAAATAAAAATATAACGCTAGCTACTTATATACGAACGTGAGCTTGCTTTTCTATTGAATCCTGCATTGTCATTTCTATGTTAATGGTGGATACGAAGCTCAAGCAAGGTTTAAAAGTTTTTAACCTCCTTAATTGAAAAAAAAACTATGATAAAACTTGACTTTCAAAACATCGATTCTGATATCAAATACAATAATTCGGAGATCTCCTACCTCCGTGAAATTATATATGTAGAGTTTTTGTAAATGTTTTATTTTGGATTCGTCTCATTGATTATTATGGGAATAATGTCGGAAAAGCTATGTCACCAAAAAGTCAAGACTGTATCATGTTCGGGACAAAAGATACAAAAAACGCAAGTTCTGCTGCAGTACAAACTTTAGCCACCAGGAAGCCCATATTTGACCTTGACCTTCGTCTCCCTACGAGCTACCAACATACCAAATGTCACCACAACTCATAAAGGCGTTCTGAAGTTATGCTGGCTACAAATGTGCGGAAACACGCACACACAGACATGCACACACAGACATGCACACACAGACACAGACACGCACACACAGAGACCAAAAACAATACCTCCATTTCTCACGGAGGTAACAAGGATTTATAAATGAAGAATCGAATGAGACAGGTATTTCTTTTTGACACAACCGGTAAATTCTCACCTTGCTGACGTTTCGGTGTCTGTCAGACACCTTCTTCAGAGCTTCTGACTGGAGTACTGCATTTCTACCAACCTGATGAAATCATTTTCGGAAATGAAGTATCGGGTGTTTTTCCAGGAGGGTTTGGGGATAGACTGGGACCAGGTGGACGTGTCGGACCTGAACAAGCCGCTGTACTGCGCCCTGGCCGCCAGGATTCTGTTCGCCGCCTGTCAGACCGACCTGCCGCTTAGCCTCGACCTCCAGGCCGATCTGTGGGCCACCTGTTACAACACCCAGGGAAACATGCAGACGTACATCGACGCTGTGAACGAGCTGGAACAGGAGTCAGGTCAGGAAAACTTATTTCTATACTAGATATCCTTAACAACCACCAGCGTTTCCTTGAGTTATGTTGTCCACAAACAAAAACCACAAAAAAAAAAAAATACACAACTCTCTGCAGCAACGTAGAAACATGATAGGATAACAATTTTTACCTTTCACTTGGTTTCTATAACCGTTGCACACCTACCAAATATCATTAAGATCTATTCACAGATTTTCAACTTACGCCGCATACATCCATCCTCCCGAGGCAGGGTCGGTGGCGCGGTATTCTATATACCTTACAACCGATAGCTTTGCACAACTGAATTGTCTCTGATTGGCTGACAGCTACTTGAAGGCTACGTCATCTGGAGTAGAAAACTGGTTGTAAGGTATATAGAATACCACGCCGCCGACCCTGCCTCGGGAGGATGCATACATCGACAAATACACAAAAAGCCCGCTGCAGTTAGATTGGGAAAAGCCAGGTGAACCATTTTTGAGCTTGAACAACAACAGCTAACCACAAACCAAATATCAAAAAGATCCATCCACAAATACTGGAGTTATAATAGTGTTTGTTTTGCCTATTGTAACTTTTATTTTCTGTACGCAAACTCTTTCAATTCAGGGATTCTCATCCCTGCTGCAAGGTTTGCTTTTGGTGTTGAAATAAACTATCAATATCAAAATAACGTTGACTTGCATACAGACCCACACCACAGCTGCTACACTAGGCCCAAACCGCATACATACCCTTCTGACGAAGGCAAAAAGGGAAAACAATACATGCAGACCTTTCGGTGACATTTTTTCATGTCAGGCGCCTTCTTTGCAAGAACGCTATAGGGTACAAAACAGAAAAAAATTATATTTCTTATGAAACTTGACAAACCATGTATCATTAGTTCTATATGCTCGTACATCTATAACTGCGTCAAGAAGCGAGAAGAAGTCGAACAATGTAAATAGTAGATCACATTAGTATGTTTAGTTAATGTATCATTGCTGTATCCTTTTCCCTGTCTATTCATGACCTGTACTTAGCTTGGTAGAGCACAAACGTACAATAGAGGTCTTTCATTCATTGAATAGCAAACGACGTTTGCAATACAAAGGTATCGAGTGCTCAGCCAATATTTAAGACCTTTGAGCTAGAACGTTGTGTTGACGTCTTACACTTGATTGCTAAAGGTGGAGTCCGTTTGGCCAGAAGGCGGGGCCGGCCTAATTCTTGTGTTCACCGAATATTTTACTCAGCAACCTCAGCACGTCATGTGAAAAGAGGCACCATAACTGCGTCATTGTTCTTTTATTCCTGACTGCATGCTACATTTAGACTCTGTACTTTGACCGCATAGATATGAAGAGTAAACTTTGAATTATATTAATGATACGTTAATTTCACGACCATAACCATTTATTGCGTTTGGTAGCCTGGTATCCAGACTGATCGTGGTCGGGGCCGAAAGAGCTCTGTCCCGCCCGCCTCACATAGGTTTCCCGGTGTGTATTTGACGAGAGATTGATTAGCTCTCCACCGTGTTGGGGGAAACCAAATCCCCAAGCATACTGTCTCTTATTAGCGTAACTCTCCTACCGGGACGGTCTGTTGCACTGGGCGGGGGAAGCTATTAGAGCCCCCGAAGGCACAACCTGCCCGAACACCCCAATACCCCCAATCACGTAAGACTGGATACCAGGCTATCCGTTTGGGCGCTGAGAGATAGGTTAATTTTCGTCTGCTTAACGTAAGCACCATACGCGTCGTTCTTAACAAAGAAAAAAAATACTTATAAGACCTCAAACCTTGACGAATGGATACTCAGAACTTCAAGCTACTTTTTGTACGCGGCTCCAACCGCCATTGGAGTGTTGTTGGCAACGGCACGTGTGAAACAAACATATAAATTCTTAACGCTATATCAAGTACGAATAAAAAAGTAACGGCCTTATTCCAACACAGCATATGCATGTAACGTTACAACGTATAGTATTTATGATGGGTCGTTTGGCGTTGTCAGTATGTAGTGGCATGTCTGTGACTGAGACAAAAGCCAAGGTTTCTTTTTTTCTATTCCAATATTTCTTACAAGACATGGCGGCGGCACACTCAAGTTTTTCAGACTTATTTTTATGCCGCCACCAACGCAGATAAACGTATGAACGGACAACATACCATTGTCACCTGAGTTAAGTGAGGAAATCATCGTAATGTGCCTTTACCAAGGGTGTACAATATCGGTGGTATGGCAGGATTCGAACTCGGGACCTCTTGGTCACCGAGCCGAACGCTCTGTCGTGTAAAGTGCCTTTCCCAAGGGCACAATATCGGTGGCATGGCAGGATTCAAACTCGGGACCTTTTACACGTAGTTCCGAGCCGAACGCTTTGTCGTTACGCGACACGACCCCACCCTCTTCTGCGACTGGTATCTCACATACACGTTTGCCTGTTGTTTCTCGCAGAGTGTAAGATCCCCGGTATGGACATGGTGTTTGTGCTGGACGGTTCCGGCAGTGTTGGAGCGGACAACTTTGAGACGGTGAAAGACTTCGTCTCGTCCGTAGTAGACGCGTTCGAGATCGGACAGTCCCGTACCCGTATCGGTGTGGTACAGTACAGGTACGCCACTCTATCATTCACCAGTTTCCCATTCCCATGACGCATTGCGCCTGGGGGTAAACCTTCCCAGGTTGCATAGCGCCTTGTGATCTGAATTATGTGTTCCTGTGGTGTTTTACATTCGTGATGGCAGACACTAAAACACTGAACATCTGTTGAATTAGTTCGATCAATATAAAACAATCTTCTTTTCTAATGGCAAACAGAGTAGCGTTACCACTGTAATGTTCCATGTTAAAAAGGCACAAATTTCATTCCCTATTTGTTGTCAGATTTGACCCATAGTGAGCATAAAATGCCCCAAAGCCTCAAAATACACGGAAAAACATGATACATTCCTGCGCTATGGAACCTGGAAGATTTTACCACCCCCCTCCCCCCAGTCGCAATGCATCCTAGGAATGAGAAAATGGTGAATACCTTGCCATCTAGTGAAATCCTGCTTTTTGCTTCTACTTCTCTCTCCGCCATTCTCTTCTATGTTTCTTTTAGTCGGATCTTTTGCCCTGTAGCGTCCAACTTGTCAGTGCGACCCTTCTCTAACAGTCAGGTCTTGAATGCTGATGAATTTCAGTTTTCGCAAGCGTATAGACCATGAACAGACGTGTTCATGTTCTGCTCTCTATTTTCCTCTGCAGCAACGAGATCCAGAATGAGTTCAACCTGACAGAATATGGCAACAAACCGGATGTACAGGTGAGACTCTTGGATGTCCATAGCCGGAAGTGACGTCGTTATACCACGCGAATGACTTTCAGCTAACCAGTGTAGTTGCAGATGCTATTTCATCCGCTTTTAAAGCAGTTCAGTGATCTTGCCGATTTCTTCCCTGTTCAGTCCGCCATCGGCAACATCACATACCTACAAGGCAGCACGTACACAGGCGCCGCCTTGCGGTACATGACAGACGTCAGCTTCTCTTTGGAGGCCGGTGCGAGGCCTGCGTACCAGGCTATCCCTAAGGTACTCTATGTTTCTAACCTGGGTACCATCCTGGTTTGTTGGTGCGATTGACAACAAGAATGGTAGTGGTTCTTTAGGATGCATCGACGTCTTCAGATTGGTAACTTCATTTGGCAAAAACACTAGTAATTCTTCTCCAAGGTTATATGTAGTATAAGATGTCCATGTATATGAGTAGTGGATTAAGTACTGAACTTCAGGTCTGAGCGTTGAAGTTGTTACGCCACGCGCGGATTATACTTTGGACTTGACTTTTTCGCAAACACGTGAAGTTTTTAGCCTCTACCAGGCTTCGGGGGGCAGCTGGCAAGAGTAGAAATCGGCCAAATAGAGAGATAACATGCCAGGGGAGTTGGTCTATTGGAGAGAACAGTTTGCCGCTCCTATTAGATAACGATTAGTGAACTTCAAAGATGTGGCGACTCCGCACAGGCTTCGGGAGCGGCAAACTGTTCTCTCCAGCAGACCAACTCCCCCGGCATGTTATCTCTCTATTTGGCCGATTTCTACTCTTTCCAGCCGCCTCGCGAAGCCTGGTAGAGACTCGAAGTTATAACCCATATCCACATCATATGCGTCTGCCAACAGGTCGGTATCGTTGTTACGGACGGCGAGGCCACAGACAATGTCCGGGGACCCGCCGACCGTGCACACGAGGCCGGGATTAACGTGTTCGCCATCGGGATCGGGGGCTACGACCGCCGCGAGCTCAACCAGATCGCCACCGACCCCGACGCCACACACGTCTTTGCCGTGGACAACTTCGCCGCCACTGACTACATCAAGGATGCTCTGGAGGGAAGGACGTGCAAAGGTACAGAAAATATCAACAAACAAACAAACAAACAAACAAACAAACAAACAGATATCTAGAGGGTCAATATGTAATCCTTAGATTGACGGCGACATTTTTCTGGTCAATCAGTCATAGAAGTCACTTATATATGTTCAATAACTTTTTTATAACTTGGTTAGAATTAGTATTATCTAATGTCTTGGGGTGGTGGGACTTCGGCGCACTGTTATGTCAACTCTGTGTATTTATATGTTAGTTGTATTTTGTTGTGTGGGGCTGTTAAAATAAGTTGTACACTTGAGTGCAGTGCCACTCTGTCCTTGTTACTGTTTTGTTGTGTACTGATGAATAAAACAAACAAACAAACAAACAAACAAACAAACAAAAAACCAAACAATTCGGTACCACGTTGAGAAGCATTTGCGTTGGCTGTCTGTAGTTTATGTCAACGTTTTTGACATTAGAAGATGTGACAATGTTGTTCTTGTGCTACTCTCCTTGTTCTGACGTGTTTTTCCGTTTCTCCATAGAGCCGGCTCCCGTGCCAGTTGGAGAAAACGTGCAGGGTGACCTACCCCAGGGGACGCTGCAGTTCCTGTCATTCAAGGTAGGAGGCACTTTTTCAGCTTCTCAGGAACCATATGAGTAGACATGTACATAGTAGACATGTACATAGTATCCCTACTGACTGTCCTTCCAGTAGGGTCGCCTAAAAGTCAGTATCATGAGAGTCGTGGCAGCTTTCTTAAGTACGGTATCATTTCCACTTTAAGTAGACTTTTTTTTTAGAACAAACACTTATTGTCTACAGAAATAAGAAACCATGCCAACAGTTTGAATTTCTTAATTTTCCCTCAGGTTAAGATCCGACATGGCATGACGTTCAAGTTGAAGATGCGGGTCGGCAGTGTGAACTTCTACCTGTCTATCCGGATCCGGAACCCCAACCGTGCTCTGTACGACTTCCGTCTGCGCACCCGGCCCAACAAGATGAGGTCAGGCAACAAGCAGATATTGGGGGGCTTTTATTTAAGATGTCGGAGAATATCTTCAAACGGGTGTTTGGTGGGAAGATCACGCCTTTTTCCGACCCCAGTCTGTTTAATTTAAAGTTGAATGGAAGCATGTTTAAAAAAAAGTTAAATCAAATTTAAAACACAAGAAAATGTCTTCGCCTAGAGCTTTCGACCAGTCATTTTGGTCTTCCTCAGTAGACTGACCCAGTGAGGCTCTACCTTTGACCAAGTGTGACGTCAACACTGGGTCAAAGGTATCTGGTAGACAATATCGGCCCCCGTCGCGGTTGAGTCAGCACGTACTAGTACATGGACGGCCAAGTCTTGTATAATAGCTTTGACACGCTTCCCAAGATCCACTGTCCCGTCAACAGCGGTCTTGGGCAGCGGACTAAAGCTAACAAGACCTAATCTCAATGCAGATCCCTTTCTGTGGCAAGACAGTATCCATTAGCCAGAGGAGTTTGTACGCCATCTCTGGCTAATGGATACTGTCTTGCCACCGAAAGGTATCTACTTGGAGAAAAGATTGGACTCTAGGCTATGTTAGATTCCGACATCATGTTTTTCTTCTGCCCCAGGCTTGACATCTTCATCCCGCCGAGCCGTCTGAGGGAGATGCTGGGCCGGGAGCGGCGGCAGGCCGTGGTGGATGATGACGAGGAGGTGGAGCTGTACGCCTCGCTGGAGGGCGTGGACGGGACCAACCAGTTCGACCTGGAGACGGACGAGGGAGACACCGCCGACCCAGCCTACCTGGATAACGGCTCTCCCCGGGCAGCCGCCGGCGTGCTGACACTGGTCATGCTGCTCCTCACGGCTATCATGCAGTAGTGTGGTGGTTCAGTGCTGCCCGATTCAGTGCTGTCCGATTCAGAGCTGTCTGATTCATGATCACTGCTGTCCGATTTAGTGCTGCCTGCATTCGTTGTTGTCTGATTCATTGGGCTAGGGCTGTTGTCTACTACGCATACTATGGCCTACAAAGAGATTAAAACACTGAAATGTTATGATCTTTCGTGGTTTTCCTTAAGTCATCTAAAAACCTTTGATATTCAATTTGAGTTTACTTCTCTGTGTGTAAAATATACAATGGGCCTATGATGTAGGATGAATTTGTTGCCTTTACGATAGAACATAATTGCGAACGACTACGGCCTTGTATTTTCTGGTCGCTCAAAGGCGCTCCTATCCTCCTCCCGACCTAGAACCCCATCCAGTTTGTCTTTGTACAAGCTATCGATGTTAATTCTATTTTGTTTTCATAATAAAACAAAGGCAGCAACTATTCCGTGTGACTGTTTCCCGTTTTTCATTGCTTTTCATGAATATTGTTTCAAAATGTTAGTCGTAAGGAAGTGTTGCTAAAGAGTCTGTTTAGCGTATGTAAATGATTCGTATTTGTAAAAAAGCAATCCGGAATTCGAGAAAGCAAGGGCCAGAAAATATCCATAAAGATCCTTATCTACTAATTGCAAACAACATCACATTTTTGGTTTTACAGACGATAGAGGTTTACACAAAATCAACTTTTAATCGATATCTGCGTGTTGATATTATCTTTTTTATTCCAACATTTAATCACAAGACGTGGTGACGACACACTCAAGTTTATTTTTGTCTGAATTAGTCTTGATATTTGTGTAACTGAGGATCCATGTACACACACCACTTATCCGTATAATCAGTGGACTTTCCTCCGTTGTCGCACTGTAAAAGCTTCAGACCTTAGCTAGGTGACTAAGTCATTCACTGAGGTACACCGCAGTATAGGTGTGAGACGTAGCGCCTCCTCCTTCAAGTCCTTGTTGATACCTTTATCCTTTGCGTGTGAGTCTTAGAAACATGTACGTGGTTCTTGTGCTGGCCAGCGCCCTGTGTGTGTGTACGGCGTTCCCGTTCGGCGCTCCCAAGGGCGCGTGTGTGGACATGACGCCCGGGCACATCTACTTCAACCTGACCAGGGTCTCCCCTCAGGGCACGGCCAGTCCGTACAGAATCACCGTGGGGTCGAACCAGTACATGTCAGGAGAAACTGTCAAGGGTAAGTGCTAGCCTGCGCACAGTGGCCGCAGCCCCTCTAGTGAGCGTTAATCTCATGCTCGTTGCCAGGATTTTGAATGGGGGGGGGGGGGTCTTCCCACTGCTTGAGGGGACCTTGAGCGCCATAGGCGCGAGGTTCCTAGGGGGTCCAGGGGCATGCTCCCACGGAAAATTTCGAAATTTTGAACCTTCTAAAATGGCATTTCGTGCGTTTTTGAGAGGATTTTCAAGAAAAAATCAGAGATAAATTTTTATTCAATGACAAAGGGAGCAGTTTTTCTACGATTCCAGTCCATCTTTTCAAGAAAAATCTTGGACCTTAACATAAAAAGTGGACCAAAAAGTGGACCCTTGAGCCTTAATTGTGGGGAGTTCTTCCCTGGCTACGGGCATGAATCTATACTAGCGTAGCTAGATCGCAGTGATTTTTATGAGATTTGTATTGGGGGTAGAACTGTATCTGCCCGCCAGAAATTCTGCACAGGGTCTCGAGGCTACGTAGGTACACTTTTGTGGTCAGCAACGATTATAGGTTGTGGTCTATATTCGGCTGGCGAGATACTCGTGTACTATTCAACCATAGAGTCAGGCAGTTGGATCATTCAAAGTATAGGACTAAATTTGAGTTGGAAATATTATGCACACTCCTACAAATCTTTTCAATGTACTAAAACTCTACTAGTAACTACCTCTGCTGTATCTACATTTGTAGTGCACGTGGTGCAACTACCGTAACAATACCCAAGGTAAGAGGGGAATAGGAGTATGGCGTTACTATCTAATATCCAAGCAGACACTTCGGTGGCAAGATAGTATCCATTGGCCAGAGGAGTGTCCCTTCGCCACCGCTACACTATGCGCTTCAGGTTTTTCAGAGGGCAAACTTTACGGCAAAAGTTACGGGACAATACAATAACAATCACGATCGGCAAACACGTAACGTACATCACATGCCCTACAGTGTACACACTCACGCGCCTCCAAATCAGATAAAAACTGTGGACTTTCGTCTGTCCTTACAAAATTGGAGCCTTAGACCAACATTCGAGCCTAGAAGCAACCCTGGCCAGGTCATTCTGACTAAACGCTCGAAGACGAAACTTCAGGAGTGTTGTTGTAAAAGCTGCAACATTTTTAAGATCTTGAATCCTACTCTAGTCGTAAGGAATATGCTTGTAGTTGTTGTGTTGGTCGGGGTTCTGTCCCTGTGTAACGCCTATCCGAACGGCGCTCCTAAGGAAGCGTGTGTGACCATGACGCCGGGGCATAAGTACGCCAACCTGACCAGCGTGCACCCACAGACCACACCGAGCCCGTATCAGGTTATGGTCGCCTCTAACCAGTATAGCCCCGGAGCCACGCTCAAGGGTAAGTATGCGTGTTACCTTCGCCAAGAAGGTTATGTTTTCAGTAGCGTTTGTCTGTCTGCGAACAGCATAACTCAAGAAGCTTTACATGCATTGTCATGAAACTTGGTAGGTGGGTAGGTCTTGATGAGACCTAGAAATGATTAGATTTTGGGCTCCCTGGCGGCTTTCGTTGGTACTGCAGCAGAAATTCCGGTTCTGATATCTCATGATCTGGACATGCTAGGGTCCCGAATTTTGGATGGTAGAGAGCGCTTGGCTCCAGGTTAATCTGGCTAATACCCCCTCCCCCGTCTTTTTTTTTTAAACAACCCTCATGAGATGATCGGGTAGATTGTTAAATCACCACGAGCTAGCATTTTCATACATTTCTTTCTGTTGTGTGAATGTCTAAACACTAAATAGGATGGCAGATTCCTTGCCATCCACCACAACACTATATACTAGTATATATCTAATGCCCCTCCCCCTTCTGTGGTGATCTCACTAGTCACGGTGACTCAGCACAGCATGCAAAAAACTGGGGGTTTTGGGGGGGGGTCTTTGGGAGCTTTTATGTGCTGTTTTCTGATTGCAAATAGACAACATAGCCGGCCTGGTTGAATCATAGTACCCCCGTTTTAGAACTGGGCTAATCAGAAAACAGCCGAAGGCCACCAAACGTTAACCCCCAGTTCTATAAACCTGCTACGGAGGCTAAATTCAGCAAGTCAGTCGGTTAAAAGAGTGAAAGACCGAAATGTCAAAAAGCTATTCCAGCGTATTTTAGGACTTTGTCTTACCTTGGGTCAGCAGAACCGCCAATCATAACTGCAGCAGGTGACTAGATTATGCAATCACGGGGCTAAAGGTCAACTTGTTTACATTTGAAAACCTTGATTCAATACAAAGGTCCAAATGGATGCAAAGGTCCAAAAAGATTTGTTCTGATATCAAAATTACTAGTAGTAATCAGGTACTAGTATTTTACAAACATGACTATTCAGACAGTGGAGACATTGAAAGCGTTAACGTTGTATCAAAATTTTACGCAACGATTTCTATACATATACATTTGTATTTTGCAATGGTAAATATGCCCCGCTATTTGCCGGAATTGTATCATTAAAATGGGGAAATAGAAATGTTTTCAACCCTAACAACCCCAACACCTTCTCCGACAGACACACCAGACAGAGGCATCTACTGTCCACCCTCAGAACAAGAACAAAACGATTTCAGAACAGCCCGATTCATGGATTGTTTATATGACCCACCTTTTAAACCAGCAGTAACAGTGATAGCAAACACTACGTATGATCATGGAACGCTGAGACTTGTATATATCCGATTTGTATATATAATGTAGGTTTTAAAATCACTTCCCTTAATTACTTTTAATGTGGTCAAGTATGTACTTTTTAGTGTTTTTTAAAAACTTTCATTGCTGTAAAACACGCAATTCAGCCTGTGGCTGCCATGTGTTTTTGACGAATAAACCTTTCATTCATTCATAACAATGATCTCAACTGAACTCTAATCCTAACCCTAACTCTAACTCTAATACCAACCCTAACCCTAACCCTAGCCCTAAACACCTGGACTCTCACGTATGTGGCAGCTCAAGGATTTGGCTCAACACCGGTTGAGAGAAGGTTGGTATGCCCTGGTATAGATGACTTTTTTCAGTCCTGTTTCGACATAGTCGCGTTCAGTGTCCTCCTTCCATGTTTCAGTCATGATTGTGGGCCCAGCGTTCCAAGGTTTCCTGCTACAAGCTCGCCACAACGGGAACGCCGGTCCGGTCGGGTCCTTCTCCAACGCGCCCACCAACACCAAGGCCGTGCAGTGTACCGCTGAGAACGACAGCATGACACACGCCAACCCCAACACCAAACAGAACATTACCCTCACCTGGACGGCGCCTTCTGACGCCAGGGCCGACATCATGTTCATGTAAGTACCGGTACTACCGAAAAATGAAACAATAAGTAGAAAGGCCAAAAATGAAATAATAACTAGAAAGGCCGGCATTTGCTCGGGAGCAAATGCAGCAGATGGCTTCACCACATCCCCCGTACCAAAAATAGACCTATCCCCTCCTGCACAAATGGACTGTTCCTAAATGAACCCTGTCCAATATACTAGTATTAAGTGTCCCAATAGTCTATACCCCCGTGCAGCAATGGAATCTTCCAACGCCTTCTGCTGTTGGAACATGTAGAACTTGAATCTCTTTAAAGAAATGGCAGGATTCGGAGAAGGAGAAACATGAGAGAAAGCAATATGTCTTCTGAAGCCATAATCACAAAAATGTGTTTGAAATTTAGTTCATTTGTGTCGATGGGATTTTTCTGTAACAGGATTAAATTTACTAGTAACTGCTATTTTCAACAGAGAAACTGGACCAATTTTTTAAATAATTAACACCAGTTTTTACCAAGGAATCGGCGGCTTCCATGACGTCACTTTATGCAGAAAAAACACGTGAACAGCGCGAATCAAAAGTTGCTTATAGTTTATGGCGTCCCCCGTCTGTTATAACCTTGCTACACAACCTCTGTGTTCACTTCGGATATCGTAATTCTTTATACCACCGCACAAAGTAGCATTACTACACAAAGTTGCTGGTTATCACTGCGAACGATATGTGGGCACTTATGTCACAAATATCTATATATTTTCTACTACCTTTACGAATATTGATCGTATATTCTCTACTACGTTTCAATACATTATGGCCGTTTTTTCCCCAGTGCTACCGTTGCGCAGGAAAAGAACGTGTTCTGGTTGAACAACACATCCCCCATGGTTACTCTGGATCAAGGTAGGTCAACATACAAACTCTTTTTGGCGACGTCTCTGGGAGGAGCCTAATGGTACAGTACTAGTATTGTGTGCAGTTCACAAGAATTCTAGGAATTGTACAGGAATTTTGTTCACAGGCATGGAATGTCCACAGGAATGTCTCCCAGCTCTGTTTGCTGACACACATTCCTAAAAAAAACCTTGGGAAAACCTGTCTGCCCTGGATGCTCTGCTTTCTGTCACCTCGGGGCTCGTTCACTATTCACTCAGGGGAGGGGAGGGTACCAAGGCTTCCTCAAAATCATGAAATCATGGCAGTGCCATGCAAAGAATAACCCTAACAACAACCAAATGTATGTTTTCATTGCTAGTCTTGTTATATTTGGACGAAGATGGAAACTAAATCGCCTCTTTGTTGTGACGAGTAGCTTGGCTGCTGACTGCTATGAAGTAAAGATACCTGGTAATAGCCACTCCTAACATCGACTTAATAATCTGTTCTTTTTTCTTTTTGTCCTGAATATCATTCCAGGGTACAAGAAGGAGGTGTCAGGAAACCACGTATGAAAGCATGCATGATGTCCATATGGTCAGGCACTGAAACGTCCCATTCTAGCACTTCTATTGTAAGATCAACGTGAAATCTTGACATGATAATTCTCTTATCGCTGAACAAACATACTCTAAGGTACAAAACATGTAACTGGTTATGTTAGTCTTCCCCATATAAAAATTACCGTTAATTTAATCGACAGTGGAATATCAGATGGTTAACAAGCCATTCCCCTACATGTATGTGCCTGTGTACTTAATATGAAAGTTCATCTGTGCTGGTAGTAATCATAGTAAAATGTTAAACTTAATTTCAACACAAGGGTTACACAGAGATCAAATTTTCAACGACCGCTGTCGCCTTCATCAGGATAAGTATACTATAAACTCCCTGGCACTTTTGATCGTAACATATCCGTTAAGCGAACTACCATGCTAGGACCAACAACCGTGTAATAATTTTTAAAACATTTATTGCTGTATATTACAGTGTTCTCAATAAACAATATTAAAACAGTATTGTTTCACATCTCTTACCTTTTTGTTTACCCTTTTGTCCGAATTGCTATAAATAGGTTGACTAGGAATGAGCCTGTGTGGGGATGAGATTTTAGCAGATGTTGATATAAACTTACAACAAGAAGAAAATATTATTTGATTTGACAAATTTCAGCCAAATTGATTGACTGATTTTTGGAGTACATTCGCTGTTGGGGAGAATGATAGTTTGGGACAAAATTTCTAATCGTCATGCCTGCATTTCCTTTCTAAAAGTAGGCTCAACTGACTAATTGTTATGGCGACAAACCATCTCCTTAACCATATGAAATCAACTATCAATTGCAACAAGTTTAACGAATCAACAAAACTAACAAGCAATTTGATAAATATCACTATGCAGGAGTCCTTAACAAAGTGAAGTTGATGCAATGTTTTCTTTGTAGTAGTAGTTGTTGTTGTGATGTTGTTTGGTCACTGCTAACTCTTGGCAGCGCCCCCTGCCAGAGCACTGTGGGGGTACAGGCGGCAGAACCTTCCCAGAGCCCAGATTGTGAAGACGTTTCTATAGCTGGTGTAGCTGATGGCACAGGACTTGTTAAAGACTCCGCAGATATTCTCCTGAAAATACACGACACATAAATATGAAATTTTCAATGGATTGGTGTCATTCTACCATATGAAATATGAATAAAATAATGCATCTGGACTGGAAATGGAAACATGCAACCTATCAAGCTGGTAGCACATTTTTAAAAAAATGATGCAATGAAGTCAGCTGACCTGTGGCCAATCACCATTTTCCATTTGTCTATCCATAAGGAATTTAACTGCCGGTTCCATCACGCTAAGGTCTGGGTACCTGGGAAAAGAGTTTTATAAAAAAATGTGAAAAAAACAACAACAACTAATGATCGCTAAAATGAGCAGCATATGCAATTCTAGATGAAACTTTCAATAATCTTATCTCAGGCCAAGCGTCCAAACAATAGTCAAACACACAGAAGTTGTCCAGTTTTCAGTGGAGGGGATAATTGTAACAGTCGATAGTGTAGGAGCGCCATCTAACAAAAAAGGTAAAAATTGCACCCTCTCCTTGGTACTGAAATACCATCTGGACAGTGCAACAGCAACTTCACAAAATGCATGCATGATGATACCCACTAAAAGGACCCTTTCCCATTAATTGATGTTATTAATTGATGCTAAATGTGCATTTTACTCTCCAAAACCTAGCAAATGATAATTCAGGCGAACATTTTTTATGTACCGTAATATTGTATAATGAGGTTATTGATTAACGTTAAATGTGCAAAGCTACTTTAATGACGTTTATTGGATTATTGCTACTAGTATTATTAGTATTAATAGAACTTTTTTTTCAAAGTAGTTAGAAGTAAATGTAAATAGTAGTTATAATGTTTGTATTTTACATTGAGGACTCCGGGTAGAGTAGCGGTTGTATTGTCACGAATTGGAGGTTTCTTGAACAAACAAACAAACAAACAAACAAACAAAAACCGTAACGCTCACCTGACCGCCATGAGCCCCAGCAGTGCCCAGCAGGTGTTGACCACCTGTGCAGAGTCGCTCTGCACGTATTTCCGCTCCTCGCACGACTCGAAGTTCTCCCCCCACCCCCCGCCTGCCTCCGCCTTCATCCGGTGGGACGTCAGGAAGTTACAGGCACGAGTCACGGCCTCGGTAGCGGTACTGGAGTCAGGGGGGTATCAAATCTTTTTTTGATGTTGTATGGCGTAGCGGCAGAGTGCTTGACTCGGAACCAAGAGGTCCCGGGTTCGAGTCCTGACATGCCACCGATCTTGTGCCCTTGGGAAAGGCACTTCACACGACTTTCCTCACTTTGCTCAGGTGAAAATAAGTACATGTATTGTATTGTCCCCTGTGTTGGTGGCGGCATTAATATAAGTTGAAAAAACTTGAGTGTGCCGTCACCAGGTCTTGTGATTACATGTTGGGATATATTAAAAAAATCTTTTTTTCTATTCCATTTATTGCAAGAAATGGCAAATGCACACTCAAAGTTTGTCAACTTATTTTTATGCCGCCACCAACATAGACAAACGAATGAACGGACAACAGACATACTCATTTTCACCTGAGTAAAGTGAGGAACTTAAAATTCGTGTAAAGTGCCTTTCCCAAGGGGACAAGATCGGTGGTATTGCTGGATTCGAACTCAGGACCTCTTGGTTCTGAGCTGAATGCTCTTTCGTTATGCCACACAACCCCATGGTGGTATCAAATCTGTCAGGAGGTATACACACTAGCCTCTACCAGGCTTCATAAAGCGGTTGGAAAGAGTAGAAATCGGCTAAACGACAGATACCAGGGGAGTTGGTCCACGCCAAGAGAACAGTCTGCCTGTTATTTGGTCAATTTCTACTCTTGTCAGCCGCTTCCCGAAGCCTGGTAGAGACTAGTACATAACATCTGTATCCATAATATCACCAGGGTCCATAATATCGCCACCTTGAGAAACAGTGTGCTTAAAAGATATTTTTACTGCAATATACTTTTGGTATGCACTCCTTCACACATCAAATGTACATACCTAGGGTATGTTGCAGTAAAATTATCTTTAAGCACACTGTTTCTCAAGGTGGCAATATTATGGACCCTGGTGATATTATGGACACAGATGTTACAAGTGTCCAATCAGAGTGTCGCTTTGTGGTTACTTTTTATCCTTTTAGTTTTGTGTTTCAAACATACTAGGTCAATCGCGGAGTTTGTAATGTTTTCCTGTTATCATAGTGCTGTAATGAAAACTTTAAGACAAAATGAAATCTTTTTGCAATACCTGTGTTTAAGCGTCATCTATTTACCCATAAGGAAACCTACCCTAAGTCGTATCTGTGTCCCATACACGCCATTGCCTCTAACCCGAACCACGTCCCGTACGTAAAGCACACGCCCCAGGAGCTAGAGAGGAAATGGGGAGCAGTTATACATAAAATGCAAGTCTTCCCTATTTGGGGTACCGGTAGGAAAATATAGCCAAAATCGTAAACTACCTTAACTACCGTTAAATTTTACCAGTCTTCCAGTCCATGCTTTTACATCATTTCATCATTGGATACTCTGTTCCAATCATGTTTGAGAACTAAAAAGCTTATGCATACCCTTCCCATGATCCATCGCTCCGCTGCAAACCAATGACGTAGTCCAGGCCTTTCCTAAGTGTATCTCTGCAGACAAAAAGAGATGTAGACATTGTAAGACTTTAAGGAAATACAAACTTGCTGATCGAATCTAAAAATGCACAAATATCAGAGGGGTTTGTGAAGCATTAGATAATCAAAGTAGGACTTAAAAAGTAATAAAAGTAGGACTTTTTTTACCTGATCTCCTCTGCCCTGTGGTTAGGGTACTGGTCCTGGAAGTGTTTGAGCGCCTGCATGACGGCAGACGTGCACTCAACGTACGTGTAGTCTATCATGATGTCACCTAGCAATGGGAGAATAAAGAAACTCATTATGTTTACCAAAGGAAAACATATTGTTTTTGCTACGTTTCTTCTTCTTCTTCCGTTCCAAACACTAACCTCTGACCTGGCCAATGACCTGATTCGTTGATGACTCTCACCATGGTAACTGGTGTTGGGTTACATAATGTTGCAATTTTATAGTAGGAGGGATTTAGACTTCTATCTGAGCGTATATGTGAATGTGTTTGAGTAAGAATTAACAAAGCAGACCATATGCAAAGGTAAACATTATACATTTGATTTGCAAATGTCACCTTTCTAGTTCATTGGAAAGTAAAACTGTCACCAGCAAATGCTACCTGCAAATTATATTGTAAGATCACTTGGTTGGTAAGAACAATTTGTTTCTTACCAAAGACTTCTGACGGATTAAGTAGTTCCAGCAACTTCCCGCCCCTTTTGGTCTCGTAGGTAGCGAAGCCGCCATCACTGTTTCTCATGTTCAGTAACTGTGGGGAAAAAGACCACTCAATGAGAACATGTGTAAGACTCCTTCTTGATGTTTTATGAGCTATTAAAGCATGGCTTCTTAGATCACCCCTGTACATGGGCTCTGACGTCAAAAGTGGTATTTTTCCTGCACCATATGTGACTCGTTCATAAGATAAACTTATTTTTATTATCATAATTACTTTACCGTGTGTTTGCGTTCAAGATATAAGAAAAAAAATGCATGCACATGCAACTCCTATCCAATAGACTAGCCCCCTGCTGTAGTGATTGCACAACTGCGTGGCCCAAGGGTTACTGAACCGGAGATGTGCACCGCCCAATGCACCACCTGGTGCGGGAAGGACTTTAACTAACGAGCAACTCCAAATAGATAAACATGTCTGCCATAGTTCCCACTCATGACCCGTACCACGTCGACGGCGTCAAAGATCCTCTGGTCGGGTGCGGGGTCCTGTAAGCCCTGACACCGCTCCTGTAACATCATCATGGACTTCAGACCTTCCGCCGTGCAGTCCGTCACGATCCACCCGCAGTCACGCGTACTGAATGGGAAACCGCCCTGGGTACAGCGAAAACATTCAAAATAATTTACATTTGGAATGACCTAAAAAAAGTCTAGTCTCCTTCGCAGACTTGTGGGGCGGTGGCCATTGATTTTTTTCGTGGAGCGACAAGACTTATGCCGTGGAGGGCCGTGCAACCGAGGGAGTTTGTCGGGGAGCGAGTTTGTGTTAGGCCGTGAAAAACACTCTCCCTGACAGACTCCCTTGGCGCAGATGAAACCGTGTCGTAGATCAAATAGTATTGTTCTCTAAAACACATTGCAAAACAATCATACACACCTTGTTCATTTGCCTGTAGTATGTCTCATAGTCGGGTGGATTGTCAGGAATCTAATTATAAAGAAAGGAATAAAGGAATGTTACTATTATATATTTTTGGTGAAGAGGAACATCTTAGGCACGCACATGTAGCGCAGATCTAGAGTGCATTGTTATAACTGTTAGAAATACCGCCTGATTTCTGAGCAACTTGAAGTTGATGCAGTCTTAAGGGGGGGGCCTGCAAGGGGGGGGGTCCCGACAATGCTCTACGCTGAATTCGGAAACTTCTCGATTACGCTTTACGATAAATTCCAAGTGGCTACAACGCATTGGCGAATACGCTCTACGGAAAAGGGCTTGCGGGCCCCCTTAAGGGGACGTCGTTGCCATCCATGCCCGAAAAACGTTATGATAATAATCACGATACTGTATTTGCCGCCATTGCGTCTTAAAGCTCGTACATGTAAACCTATGAAAAAAACGACCAACCTGTGTGAACCTAAGGAAGTCGTGAGCCCGATGGAGACACGAAGTGAACTCTTTTTCCTTTTCTGCTTCGGCCTGGAGAAAAACGTATAATACAGTAAGCTTCTACTTGTTAATTACTTATCTGACACCAACTCCCCTCACCTTTTTCACTTACACAACGTAGGGCATGGTTGGTCAATCTCCCACAGCAGAGCTATCCCGCGTCAAATACGTTAGCCTCAGGATAGGCTATATATGCCGCGGACGCATCACTGCCTCGGGAGGATGTGGTTGGTATACGTATTTAGCATTATAAACTATAGTTTCTACCGACATAGTGGGCCTAAGTAGTCACACCATTTAGACAGAAGTAATTTCTGGCTATGCTCGGCAACTGGTCGAAAATCAAATACTTTAATTCTATACCTTCTAAACGCTACAACGCACATAGAAATGTGCTCAGAACGTGACAGTGGGATATGTTATGAGTACCACTCACTTCGAGGAAGGCCTGCACCACGAAGGCCGTGTCCCACAGCTGGGAACCGTTCGTACCCTGGAGCGGGAAAATCACGCTGGTGTTAGGAACAAACTGAACTGAATAAAGGCTTCTGATGACAAAGAATAACCGCAAAATGGAACACAGGTTAGTTATATGCAGGAAGTATCTTTAATTAGGAAAAAAGTTTTAGATGACGTTTTTCTATGTGTGTGTAAAAGATCTTAGACAGTGATACATGCAAACATCGATGGTCTCAAAGTAAACATTTCTTTAGTTACCTGCATCTTCATGCCATCCAGACCCAACCTATGAGAATGATAAGCATGCATGCTTTAGGTTCCAATTGTGTCATGTATGATATTTTTTGTGTGAAAATGTCCTAAAATGAAATTGCTCATTTCAACTGTCTATGATTACTTCAATCTTTGAAAGTTGATTGGTGACTACAGAGAACTTAACACTAACACGGTTAAAGATTTTTGTCACTGTCTGTAAACATAAATAAACAAACAAACAAACAGCACTTCGTAGTGCATACCGTACCAGAGATAGTCGGCGACCCTGGACGCGTGCTCCCGGAAGGCAGGGGAGGTGGGACCGTCGGCGTGCCAACGGACCAGCATCTGGATCACCTTGGAGATCTAAGAAATACAGTTCAAACATCACGTTATGTTTTTAAACCCTCATTGTTTTTATGAAAGTATTCCTGTTCATGACTGTTAATTAAAGCTTGGGAGTTACAAAAAAGAAAACACTAGACGCCAGAATGTGAATGTGCTCAAACATTGATAGCTCTTAAAACACATTATCATATAGCCAGGCGACGTCGACCAATGATAACCCTCCATTTCCCATCGACCATCAGTCCCTAACCTCAAAAATTGTCGATTATTAGAATAGCCGACCACTTTTTGGGCCGTACCATTATACAGGGGACAGGGCACTTACAGTTAGTAGTGTTAAGACTTTTAGATCTATTAAACATCGTATTGTAGTTTATTTTGAAAAATTTATTTGAAAATACAACACAATTAAAAAGATATAAATAAAATTCAAACACCCCTCACCTCTGTATGGCTGTAACTCGAATTTGTGTCAAATAACTGCGTAAGTTGGATAGGCTGGTTCACTATGCTCACTCGGTGGTTTATTCGGTGGTTATCGCATCTGACCAGGGATTATCTCACCATACACACCTCGGTGCGCGGCATTTACCATTTATTAATAACAAGAGTGGCAGGTTAAAGATCATGTTGTATTAAAGCCCCCTACCGGCCCGATACTGATGCATTTGGTGAAGCTGTCGTCGGCCTTGATGTGATCATACAGCTCGTCTATCGCCCACTGCCTCAGACTGGAGCTGTGCCACGACTCGTACAGGTTAATCCCAACTGAAAACAAATAAAAATGAGAGAAAATTAGCATATCGGTCCATTTCTGGGGCCTAAGATCCGGTGATGGTCTTTCAGCACCAAGGACAGGGACAGTCTAGTAGCCTTGGAGAAGTGTAGCCTCCTTCGCAGACTTGTGGGGCGGCGGCGTTAATTTTTGGGGGGAGCGGCGCGAGTTATGCCGCGGAGGGTGTTTGCATCACATTGGTTCCAGGGAGAGCTATGTAGGGTTGCCGGCCGGAGCTTGTACATGTATTGCGTGCGATCTACGTTTGATCAGAAAATACCCCCCACCCCCTCAAAAAACAACCAACCCCGGAATGCCTGAAGGCTAGACCACCGTACCGTAAGCCAGGTTGAGGAGCCAGCTGTGAGGAGTGTACACATCACAAGCAGCCACGTTGTTCCTCTGTGCCGGCCAGTTGATTCTCTCATAGTCCTCGAGGTACAACTCCTAGAAAAGGGGGTAAAAGTTGTTTCTTAATTACATCCGTATGTAACGTACTTTGCTTTCTAGAACGTTAACTCTTTATTGTTTTCTTGGATGTTGAAGAACGCCTTTGTGTTTATATCGTGTTCCTGTATAATGCTGGAGTCACATTTTCAACGGGGCCCGTGCGGCATGTTCCTGATCTAGACGCTGGCCAGCGTCATGAAGTTGGGTGGATGCCGGCTGGTCACAGCATGTTAGGTTACGGCTTCGTCCCGGCGTCTGTTTCTGGCCGGGACCCGGGGTGGTTTTAAGTTTGATTTAAAATCAACTCGGCGCCCGCACGGGCCCCCAAAAAAGGCCGGTAGCCATTGGGACCCCGCCATTCCCCGTTCGGGTCCTGTCCTAGAGTTAAAAAAAACAGCCTGCCGGGGCGCCCCGGTTTTGAAGTGTGACCTAGGCATAATTAGGTAGATTTCTTTGGAATGAAGGAGAAAGAAAGGAAAGAGGAAGGTGAAGAATTTATGCAGATAATTTCAAAGTAATTAGATTATCAGCAGTGCTTTCATACTTTTCTGAGTTCTCTGATCAGAGGGTCCACTTCAGCGGTGAGCTGCACGGCGTAGCAGTAACTCATGGGGAGGTAGACCTGTCTACAGTGGCACCATAACGTGGACGGGTGGGCAGGCGTCCAGGTGGGCAACAGCCTAGGAAAAAGGCAGAGGGAGAAAGGAATAATACGACTATCTCCTGTATATTTGTCATCCCTCTCTTAGGGTTCTTCGCAGACTTGTGAGGCGGCGG